GCATTGGAACATTTTTATTAAGTCCCAAACAAATGGGTAGTTTATGCCCTAAACTACAGACAAGGAGTTTGATTTTAGAGCAAGTTGTTTGAAGGTCAAACTTTTTCAAATGGGAAATGTATTATATGCTACAGAATTTAGTTTTATTTTTTAGTACAGTAATGTGTATTGTGAATACATTGTTAAGATATCAAGTACTCAAATGCTTTTGTGTGTTTTGCAGATTAATAGCTGAGATACTGATCAAGTTCTGCCCATCTTCAATGAGGAACTACAGGCTGATCTTCTGCCATAACCTTAAGCAACCATAAATGACAAAAGAATGCTTGGTCAGTAAAGGTAGCTGGCATAGAAAGTATTTTGTGAACATAGGTGTTTAAGTGCTGTGAGGTAGGTGTTCTCAACTATTATTATTTTCTTAAGATATTCTTAAGTTATATTGATTTCAAAGGTATATTGCTTTATAAAAATGGAACATAATGGAGAGCATTCTTCANGCCAAAAAAGCCAACACTGTTCTAGGCTGCATAAACAGGATAAGAATCAAAATCACGTGAAGTGTTAATACCACTTTATAATGCCTTGGTAAGGCCACACTTGGAATACTGCATTCAGTTTTGGTTGCCGTGATGTAAAGATGTGGAGACTCTAGAAAGAGTGCAGAGAAGAACAACAAAGATGATTAGGGGACTGCAGACTAAAACATATGAAGAACGGTTGCAGGAACTGGGTATGTCTAGTTTAATGAAAAGAAGGACTAGGGAAGACATGATAGCAGTGTTCCAATGTCTCGGGCTACCACAAAGAAGAGGGAGTCAAGCTATTCTCCAAAGCACTTGAGGGTAGAACAAAAAGGAATGGGTGGAAACTAATCAAGGAGAGAAGCAACTTAGAATTGAGGAGAAATTTCTTGACAGAACAGTTAATCAGTGGAACAGAAGTTGTAAATGCTCCAACGCTGGAAGTTTTTAAGAAGATGTTGGATAACCATTTGTTTGAAGTGGTGTAGAATTTCCTGCCAAGCGGAGTTGGACTAGAAGACCTCCAGGGTCCCTTCCAACTCTATTATTCTATTTTATTCTAGCTATAATAGCGAAGAAGTTGCCATTGGCTGACTGGAAAAGATCACTGATGTTTTTACATGCACGTTCCAAATCAGTGGAAGAAGGAAGCCAATTAATTGTTGCAGTATAATTTGAATTTATACCAACCTTTTCAAGAAGAACATCCATTTCTTCAACCCATCTCATGGGATGATTGTTTGGGAAAAATAGGAGGAGAAAGGTGTGTTGCGTTTGTGCCTCATCTTGAGTTATTTGTAAAAATAATATGGCAGAATACAAACAAACAAATGAATAAATGAAAGTATGGCAAACAACAGAAGAATTAGTAAAGCTTTTAACCTGCAAACCTGGAGAAGACACAGTGGCCAATAAAATTGTAAGAGATTCATTTATATACTAATATCAAAGAAAGGAGATTTATCATGTAATATCCAGTAATACAGTAATTTCCCATGCTAACAAAATAATGCTTAGGATCATTCAGCGCAGATTAGATTAGGCTTTAAAAAAAGCAGAGGAACATGAGACATTATTGCTATTATGGAATCTCCAGCTAGAGTGCAGGGAGGTTTGAAGAAGGGGCCAAGATTAGAATCCCATCACAGCAGAAAATGGGACAGGCCTTACTTTCCCAAAGTCCCTGAAGCCTTTTCTGACCATTCTTAAGAGAATTCAGCCAGTCTAGTTAGATTCTCATAAATAGGCATCGGAACAACAAAGAAGTAATTTTTATGGATTCATAGTGTGGGCCTAGTTCCTTGTGCCTGACAGTTGCTGATGCATCCTGGATAACTGAAGAGGCCAAAAAGTGCCAGAAATCAAATATGATTAGTTATATAAAGGCCTTGTGTAATGATATAGTGGGCCATGTCTAGGTATGGAATGTGCTCAGGAAAATTGGTATCCAAGAACATCGTATTCTCCTCATGCAAAATTTATATACAGGATAGGAAGTTATGGTCCATGTGGTGGAACATGGTAGAACAGACCAGCCTCCCCTCTCTTGTTAAATCTATATGTTCAGTATATATTGAGAGGGTATGGATTGGAAGCAGATAAGTTTTACAATTGGAGGTAGAAACATCTATAACTTGGGCTGTACTGATACTCAGCTGAAAATGCAAATACTCTGTAATCTTTAGTAATGAAAGTGAAAGAGCAGTCTGAAAAAAATGAGACTATATTAAATATAAAAAAGGCCAAAAGAATTGTAGCAAGTACAGCAACCAGCATAGAATTTGCAAAGAAAATGCTGAAGTGATGGGTAACTTCTGCCTTTTAGGATCAACAATGAACAGTAACGGAACCAGCAGTTAAGAAATACTTTGAAAACTTGAATTTGGTAGGGTAGCATTGAAGGCCTTGAACAAAATTTTCAGGTGCCATAATGTACCTGTATCTACAAAGATAAGAATAACCAAGACAGTGGTTTTCCCTGTGGGGAAAGGAAGCATAAAATTAGTATTGTAAATGTGATAAAATCAGCATATTGTTATCTAGGTGGTGTTGATTACTTTCCATAGGAAGCTAAAAGTAATGTATTGGAGTAACTTTAATGGTTTAGAATTTTGCACAAGAATACTTGCTTATTGCTCTTTATTGCAGTTGTTGCAAAAGACAAATATTGCTTGCCCTTTAGGAATTGTGAGAAATAGTACATATTCCATGACTTTTTAAATAGGTAATTTAAACTGAATTAAGATGGAATCTAGAAGAACTGTGCAAATGAACATGTACTTTTTTTTCCAAAACATGTTTTTTCTCTATACCATAAGAACTATGTGACTGTTTTAGTGATATCACTGTAGTTGATTAGTGTTTCTTTTGCATGATGTGGAAACTTTCTGAATAGGTAATTGGTTGGTGTTCTGCAGGTGGTCCTCAACTTAAAAATTACAATTGAACCCAAAAAAATTTCTAGCTAAGTGATGCAGTTGTTAAAGTGGTTTTGCCCTATGACCTCTTGTCACAGTTGTTAAGTGAATCACTGCAATTGTTAAGTTAGTAACAGGGTTAAGTGAATCTGGCTTCCCCATTGANACTTCATTGCATTTCACAGGTTAAGAGCTTGTTCGTATTAGTTACAATAGATGAAAAGCATTTGTTTTTCCATTCCAAAATTAACAGTTACTTAGTAAAAGAAAAATGTGGTGGTTTTGGGAAAAATAATTGGGGGACATATTTTTTATGTATAAGCAAAAATAAGATGGCCTTTGTTATAGCAAACAAAGCAGCTGTAAAACTAATTTAGTATTGTATTTTAAGCTTCGAAATTTGTATGTTAACTTTATGACATGACATTGTAGGTATGCTAGGATCTTAAAGGGATTTTTTTTTGATATAGAAAAAAATGTGTTGCTAGTCCTACTATTAAAATTATTTATACCCAAAATGGAAAACCTTTGTTTCTACTTTTCCCAAAATAAATAAACATACAATTTTTTTGTTGTTAGATGTTAGTGAACTACGCTTTATAAAATGTTATTCTCTATTATTTGTCCTCTCAGTTCGTACTTAAAACTGACTAGAGCTTCCAATCAAACATTTTCTATTCATGTTTAGTTCTTGAGACATTCATTTAAACTTGCATGTGAAACCTCATTTCTTCCTGACCTGCAAAGCCACTAATTTTTCTTGTTTGGAGGCTACTTCCCTGTTTAATTACTGTAAACTTCATCAAATTATGGATGTTTGACTAATACTGTTCATTACTGCTTTCTGAACTATTTTATATCATGTTTACTTACATCAATACTGAACAGGTGCACAATATTTTTAATGATTTGCTTAATTTTTGTTATAAAGAACATGACAAAAGATTAAATGACAAAATTTGTACTTAACTGAGTTTTTTTTAAAACCCTTTCATTTTTTTAGAGCAAGGAAACACAAAATTATTTTGGAAGAACATTCATTAAAATTTCATATATTTCGTACAATATTTTGAAAACTCAAGTGCAACAAAGTGTAAAATTTAATGAGAAGATACTTATTTTGATTATGGAACCTTGAATGTATTACTTCTTTTTCCCAATAATTAATGCTTTGCTGCCTTTAAATAGTCACAATTTTTCTGGTGGAAGTTTTGAGATACTAATATAAAGGATGAATAAAACTGCCTTCCTGCCAGTCATAAGAAGTCCTCCCTGATATGTTACACCCAGCTGTGCTGCTATAAACATTCTTGCTATGTTAATTAAAATAGTCTTCTTTCATATCATGTCCTGCGAGGAAATTAAAAATGTTTTTTCACCTCCTGTAAAAAGCATTTTGCATTTCTTCATGTAAATTGAAGGGGAAGGAAGGAACACATCCCTTTTTAATGTGGAGGAAAGAATATAGTTTTTCCTTTTATACTTCATTTTTTCAAGAAACAGCAGCAAGGTGATAGGGGTGCTGTCTTCAAAATCTTTATAAGATAGACCATATATTTTCCTTTATAAAAACACTGTTTCTGTGCATAAGCAACTAAGGAGAGCTTTTAAAGCAGCTTGCAAAGTATGTGGCTGTGTTATCATTTTAAAGAGAGGTGCTTTGTTCATGTTAACACACTTTGCAAAGCACCTTTTTGAAATACTTTGCACAGGCTTTCCTAGCATTACTAAATAACATGTTAATAACAATAGTTATTGTTGAGATCAACACCTGGGTCTGTTCTGTTAGCAGTTCATGCTTTGCTGTATTGTTTTGCTTGCAAAATGTGTTTTGCAAGATATATTAAAGGACCGCATTTAAGTATGCTGAATGAGAAAATCTTAAAAGAGGGGTAAAGACAACTCATAACCTGGTCAACTAGAATTATGGCTGATTCTAAAGCTTGTATTAGTGTTTGTAACCTGTCATTGATATACTAGCTTTCTAATTGAACATCATTACAATATACTAAAATGAAAGGAACTGAAATCTGAATGACTCTGTATATCATTTTCATTGCAGTGCTCATCTCTCCCCCTTAAGTATCTTGCCAGCTTCTGCAGAGTAAGTATAAATTCCCCATAGGTGTAGAAAATATTCAAGATTGCATTGTATTCAGGTAATCTCGATTTACAACTATTTGTTTGGTTACCATTCAAAGTTACAGTGGCACTGAAAAAGGTGACATAACAATTCTCACTCTTAATAACCATTGAATCATCCCCATGGTCACATGATTAAAATCTGGTCACCAGGCAACTGGCATGTATTTATAATGGTTGTGTCCTGGAGTCATGTGATCACCTTTTGCTATTTTCTGACAAGCAAAGTCCATGGGGAAGCTAGATTCACTTAACCATGTTACTAACTGTACAATTGCAGTGATTCACTTAATAGCTGTAGCAAGAAAGGTTGTAAAATGAAACAATTGTCTTGCTTAGCAACAGAAATTTTGGGATCCATTGTGGTTGTAAGTCATGGACTGCCTGTAATGTTATGAAACCTTTGCAATGTTGACCTTTTGGTGAATAAATACTGGCTGACTTTAGTATAGATAAAAAGTTGGAATTAATATTGAATGACTATTTAAAATATCTGTTAAAGTTAGCCACCATTTTTATTTTCCTAATCTTCACTGTACCCACATTTCTTATTGGTCTAAGAGCATATGGCTTGTATTGACCCTAAATTCTTGTTCTTTTGACATTCATTTTTTTCTGTATCTTTTTAGTTCCTTTTTAAATTATACCTTTATATTGTACAATTCACAATTAAACCACCAATTCTCAGAAGGGTTGCTATTCCTTCAGATTGGCCTCAGCCTGCTTCCATTTCTAAACCTGTATTACTTTGAACTATGAGCGTCAGAAAAATTCATGATATTACAGCAATATAACTAGTGATTAGGAGTGATTTATGGATAATGATCATTGTTTTTATATCTATATTGATATTAATGTTTCCATTAATAAAACGAGATTTCAGATACAGGTAACCAAATATAAATAAAGCACTAAATAGGCAGTAGTCTACAGTGAACAAATTAAACAAATGTTCTTTAGGAAAGCCTGAACCAATAGTAATATGGTCATCCTTAAGTGAAACCTTAATCCAGATAGGAGGAGGGAGCAGTAGGTTAGCAAACTGGGATATACTCACTTGTTTCAGCTTACTTAATGGAGTGTCAACTCCAGTAATTTTTTCCCTCCAATTATTAAATTTAAAAATTGATAGAAAAATATGGGATGAATGGCTCTTTGACTTAATTTTTAAATTTTTTCATGCTTTCAGTTGGAATTTTAAAGGAATTTACTTTAATCCTCTTTGTGTAAGGAATTAGTTTTGATTGTAGTTTTTTTCTTTCTGTAGTCTGTTATTGTAGCTTTTCTTTTTGTTTGTCTTATTTGAACTGTACAATGACAGTAGTTGATTTAATTAAAAACTTTGAGAAAGATTTATTTTTGTAATGTATGCACACTGACTATTTCATAGTAAAAGTGAATGAATAAACTAGTTTTTTTCAGTTGAATGTCCTCTGTGTGCTAGGAACAAAATTGAGCAACATATTTTACACATAAGAAAATAGATTATTAATACATATCATTGTTTTATTTCAAGTATCTTGGAAAGAACAATTAGAGCAGCTGTAGAACAACATCTTTTTGATCTGCAGAGCAGCATAGATCAAGATCTCAATTTACAGCACCAAGTGGTGTGTCATGAAGGAGATATTGAGGAAGATGAAAAAGGATCTAACAACCGGTAAGATTTTATTTTATATTGCTTATTTGGTTACAAAAACCAATCATTTAAAATAAAAATGATTTTTTATAATAAATAAATAGCAATAAAATGAAATTTTATTATTTGCAGTGTTTGGGCACTATATGATGATAGTATGGATAATGAATAAAGATGATGATAGTGATGATAATGAAGAGGAGGATACTTGATAGCATTTCTATTATCCTTAATATATTTCATAAGCGATTTCATAGTGTTCTGATAATTTATTCATGCTCTGCTGTGTTTTATTTCAAATCAATTTCCTATAAGAATAAACAAGGAACTTTATATTGCTGTCCAATTGTGGCAGGTGATGATTTACATGCAGGATATTCTAATTAAATAAATACAAATTAAATAATTTGTAGATTGTTGTTGCTGAACAGTATTTTCAGTGATGTTAGCCAACTGCAAATGAAATACCCAAACTGAATGATTCCACAGTACTATTACATCACAAATTGGCACCAGAATTTCTGTCATAAGCGAGGGTGGTCGTAAAGAAAGACATTATAGGCGCATGAATGCTTGCTGCTGCTTGCTGAGGCACCCGGGGTGGGTGGGTGTGTCAAGTAGCTGCAGACCTATGTGGTTGCGGNATTTTTTCTGACATACTTTCAAAAGATTGTTAAATGAATGATTGTAAATTGAGGATTACATGCAATGGAACAAATTCTTCTCCCATCACTTTATATATTCACTAAATCTGCTCTTGTGAGTTGAGGACATTCTAAAGTGGAAAGAACAAGAGAAAGTTCCAGTGCACAAATAAAATCTCATGGGAGAAACTATTAGTACATCTTATTTCTACATGTGTGTAAAATGTTTGAAAAGATTTGAACTATTTTAAGTGTGAAACTTCAATAAATGCCCTAAGCATCCTATTTTGAGCACAAAACAAGTGTTAGTTGACATATTAACAGTAAATGTAGTCCTCGCTTATTGACTGGTTTGTTAGTATCTGTTGGAAGTTATAATAAATTTGCCCAGAACTACTTATAACCTGTTTTTGAACTTCTGATGCCTATATCCACATAAACACACAGCCTGTGATCATGTGATTGCATCTTGGACATTAGCAACCAGCACACATTTATATCCATTTGCAGCGTCTCATGGTCTTTTAAATCCAATTTTTGTGAGGTTTTTTGCCAGTTTCCAGCATTTACTTCATGTTTCCAGCAAAAAACACCCATTAGGAAAAACAGACTCATTTAACAACTTCAATGTTTGCTTAAAGACCCCAGTATTCACTTAATGATTGTGCCAGATGCTCGAATGCTGCAAAAGTCATAAAATCAGACATAGTCATGCAATAACCCTCTTAATGACTGCCATGACTTGCAACCATGATTCCTGGTTCAATTATAGTCTTAAATCTAGGGCTACCTGTATTCAAAGCAAGAAACTAATTCTTTTCAGCATGTAATGTTCCATTTCACAACCTCTAATCAATCTCCATTTTTTCATTTTAATTTTCATTCAATCTTCATATTTTCCATTTAAAGATTCCATGAACTTGAAATTGGAAATTTTGTGGATTTCATTGTTAAATGATAAATGTTTTTGCACACTGCTCCAATATTTTTGTTGATGTTTGTAAATGTTTCTTTAGGTAGCAGCATTGGCTAGGTCCTCTTTTTTGCTTATTTTCGTGACATTCATAGGTAAGAAATGAATATATTTTCATTTTAAAGGGAATATTGGTTTTTCATTCTATTTGAAGGAGGTCTAGAGCAAGAAGGACTTTTTCAAGTCAATGGGAATGCAGAAACAGTGGAGTGGCTTCGGCAAAGATATGATAAAGGAGAAGATGTGGACCTGGTTAAAGAAGCAGATGTACCTTCTGCTATTAGTCTTCTTAGATATTTTCTTCAAGCACTTCCAGAACCAGTTATTCCTGGCACTCTTCATATGCATTTAATACAACTGCCTCAAGGTATTGGAATGACTTCAATATATATGAAAAAAACTGCTCAGAAATAATTAATTTAGAAATTTAAAATGTCTGAAACATTTTCCTCTGTAATATTTCAAATGTGTATCAAGATCACTGGGAACCTTGATATTGATAAAAATAAAAGCTGTATGTAGTGGGAATAGCATTCTCCCACTTTTAGACCCATTTAATAATTATTATGTAAACAGAACATTTATTACAATTATATTATAATACCTACCTACCTCTTTACAGACATAAATGCACACTATGTTATTGATGATTGGGGTTTATTTAGTTTGGAGCTCTGTTAAATTGATATCCACTGGATATATAGAGATAGGTTTTGGCCCTATCTCTATATCTGAAAAACTAAAGAGAAAATGAAATTGTCTTAATAAATCCCGACATACCTATTTTTATGTGATCCCTTCTCAGAAATCTAACATACAAGCTGGTCAAAGAATATGTGTTGGATGGATTGAATGAAGTCCATGTGTGTCAAAATATCCTTCCATTAATTTCTTGTGGTTTAACTATATCTAAATTATGTGAACATTTCAACACATGGAATTACAAATAAATTCAGATATTTTGAAAGTTTGATATTTTGAAAACATTTTGAAAGATACCTTCAATTGATATTTCATATTTCTTTAGAAACATTTAAAAACATTCTTAAACTCTTTTTTAGAATTAATAAACATATTCTGAGTGTATGCATCTATATGTTTCAGTTTCTTCTATTGAATGGCAATTGATTGTTAAATAAGCTATATTTTTCTTAATATTAATAATCAAAATAGATTTAGAGGTGACCGTCATATCTTGATAGGTAGGTAGATATAGGTTTGAAAATTGCAGGAATGCTTGGCAAGGCAAGCAAATATTAACTTGCTGTTCAGAAATGTCAAGGGCAACTATCTGTTAAAGGTTTGATGCACTCATTTCAAGCCTCTTTCTAGGTCCTCTGAGCATTTGTTTTAGCAAAGATTCTGACAGAATCTGTGAATATATTTGTGTGTTTAGATAACTGGGAAAAAGCATTGAAGCAGCTTCTTAAAAAGATTGGCACAGACCTGCATAACAAAGGTCTGATAAAGAGCTAAACTTGAACAACTGAGCAATGTGCATGAGTTCTCTGAACCATTATAAATAAACAGAATCAGAATATAGCTCTTGATTGCTGCATGTACTATATTTAAATATAGATATTTTTATCCAATGTTTTGTTTTCAGTCTAATAATACCTTTTCAAAGCCAATCTGATATACTTGTGATACATATTTTGCAAAATAAATGAATAACTTAATAACTTGGTATCTGTATGTTCTCCTCCTGGTGTTTTGGTTAATATGAATATATAGAATGCAGTCATGTTTTCTGCAGGCGAGATGGAAAAGCTATTGACACAGAATTAAAATATTAAAATATAACAAACTATAGAAGTAGTAACAGCTTCAGATGTTAATTCCTGGTATAAAATGACTACAATACTTGGGAGAGGATGGAAATTTTTATTACATATTAAAATACATTTCATATACATATCTGTTTAGATAATTTAAATTCATCTGACAAAGATAAAGATAACATAAAACTAACAAATAATTATACAAAAACCAGGGATGATAGGAAAGATTGCTAAAATCAAGGACAGAAAATTAGGTGAAAAATATTCAATTACTGAAAAGGTTTTTTTTACTTAAAAGGTGACATTTATATTTAAAATTGAATTGAACGGTTCTGCATGAAACTTCATACTGCTATTTGAATTGAAATTTATCAAATGTGGAATACTGCATTAAAATTTATTAAAAATTCTATCACACTTTGCAGATTATAATGAAGATGAATTTGGAAGAAAATTAAGATTCCTCTTGCAACAACTTCCGCCTGTGAATTACAGTTTATTAAAGTTTCTGTGTAGATTTTTAGCTAATGTAGCATCACATCATGAAGAGATTTGGTCTGCAACTTCATTGGCTGCAGTTTTTGGTCCTGATGTCTTTCAGTAAGATATTGTTCCCTTCCCCTTTAGAGTAAAAGTGTATTTAAGAAATTCTTCCTGTAATCTAACAATTAAGTAATTTATTTTACCTTCCTTCATTTTATCCATTCAGCAAATTTATTAAATATTATGTTAAAATTATATGCTCCTTAAATTTAGCTTTTCTATTAAAATAGTGAAAGAAGTTTTTTCTTTTGCTAAATTAACAAAACTTTTGTTAATTAATTACTTTAAATTAGCAAAACTCAATTTTTGTATAAATATTAGATCTGCCCATTACTTATTTTTTTTAAATGTAATTCCACAATGATATTAGATGCTCAGAATTGGGGTAATTCAAGCAGTGGCCTTGTTTGCTAGACAAACCAAAATAGTAATTTCTTGTAGATGGTGCTCTTAGAAAGTTGTCTAGCTTTAGAGAGGAAAATAGTATATAGGCAGTCCTTTTTAATCTTTACCTCTGGTAACCCTGGAGTAGGAAATATTAACATCATTTGATAAAATAATGTTAAAAAACATGAATTTAGTTTTGGACATTCTTAAAGCATTTACACAGATGTGGAGGATCTGAAAGAGCAAGAACTTGTTAGCAGAATAATGGCAGGACTGCTAGAAAATTATGATGAACTTTTTGAAAATGAAGAGGAAGATTTCTCATCTAATGATTTAAGTTCAGTAACTGAGCAGGTAAGAAACTAATGTATTTTTGGATAGATAAAATATTTGTAATAATGTAAAAATAGAAATATTTTGCTGTATAATGTACTGTGAGATATGTTTAGAAATTCTAGTTCAGTTTATTAATTCGGCTTCATTTATATTCCTACCTTTTATTTTACCATATGCAGAAGATGCTTGAAATAGCTGGGTTGTAATAGAACCCTATTTCTTATATACTTCAGAGAGTAGCCCAAATGAAAATTCTAAAGTAATGTTAATTGTCCTTTTTGCAGAAATACAGTTATAAGCTATTTTTCTCAATTATTAAACAAAACCAGTTCTCATAGGGGAACTTTAACACTAATCTATGGTTTAATGAGATGTGAACAAGTCTAGCCTTGTCATTATACTCTTCATACTTCTCTCTTCTCTTTGCTACATGAGAGAGGAAAAGTATGTTGCATTTTCTCAAATGTTCAAATATAGTATGTGCAGTGCTATTATTTAAATTGTTGATATTTAAACTAAGAGAAAATCATGGTTTAACAAAGAAGAATTTTGTTCAGTTCATTCATCTAGCGGTAATAATTATAGCATGCTCCAGTGATATGTACGTAATTTATTTAAGTCACCTTAGAGAAGAGATGGGTGGCATAAAAATTTAATAAATACAATAAAACAAGTAAAAATTCTTTATCTGCAAGTGCAGCGTGAAAAATAGTTATGCAAACCAGTTCATTTAATGTTACTGTTTAACCCCTCTGTCTCCTCCTGGGAAAATAAGCTCGAAAACTAGTAAGAAGCAAGAAAAATACATATGCACAGAATCAATGTGTCCAAGCAGATTTTGGAAATAGATGATTTTCCTATTGGTGATAAAATTTGAACACAAATGTAATCTATTGCATCTATGTTATGGGCACGTGGTGGCTCAGTGGCTAAGATGCTGAGCTTGTCGATCAGAAAGGTTGGCAATCTGGTGGTTCAAATCCCTAGCTCTGCGTAACACAGTGAACTCCTGTTACTTGTGCCAGCTTCTGCCAACTTAGCAATTAGAAAGCATGTAAAAATGCAAGTAGAAAAAATAGGAACCACCTTTGGTGGGAAGGTAACAGCGTTCTGTGCACCTTTGGTATTTAGTCATGCTGGCCACATGAGCATGGAGCCGTCTTTAGACAGCGCTGGCTCTTCGGCTTTGAAACGGAGATAAGCACCACCCCCTAGAGTCAAGATGGACTAGCACATATGTGCGAGGGGAATCTTTACCTTATCTATGTTGGATTGAGATTTCATTAAATTGCTTTCAGAAATAAGAAGAGCAGAGATTTCAGTATTATTAAGTTAGAGAACACTGCTACTCTTCATGATATGTGTGCTTTATTTAAAGAAGATCCACATTAAATCTCTTAAAAATCTTGTGACTTTCTTCAAGGAATAGATAAGGTAAAG